CAATGTTACTAAAAGACCAGGAAGAATAAGCTCATTCTTGGTAGTGGATCACAGTTCTGCATAATGAATTCTGCCATAATGATCAGATATCAGTCCTTAAAGCATTTTCATTTTAATCTCTTCTAGTCTTCTTCCACCTTCATATAAACTAGTCAAACACTCTGGGAACATTTGGTTAAAAGCCTGAGCTCCGGAGTTACCCTGTCCCGTTTAACTCGGGCTTGACGACCTTCCTAGCCCTGACCTTCACCACTCAAAGTCTCAGCTCCTTCACCTATATTCTGTAAAGCAGGTTAAACCATAGTACCCACGCTTCAGAGGGCACTGGAAGGATGTACGTGAATGTTGACGCATGCAGTACGCTAGGCGCTGGGGACAGATGCATATCACAGTGTCCCTGTCCCAAAAGAGGTCAGTTTGGTGAGAGAAACCACCAAGTATAATCAAAAGGCTAAATACTGTGATCGCGACATAGGCAGGACAACATGGGAACCCAGGGAAGGCTCCTAACCCAGACCAGGACATCAGGGCCAGCTTTCCTGAGATGGTGATGTGTGTGCCGTCAGGTGATAGACAAGGCAGAGTCAGATTCAGAATGGAACTGCAATGGCGCTGAAGCATGGAGGAACACTAGGAAAAGCAGAACAGTGCTTACTTGGTCCAAGTTTCCCAAGGGAAAAAATTTAACTATCAAACTGAGGCTTCACAACCCTACTTTTCAAACACGAATACAATACTTGATGTTCTTTAAGACCGTTTTTTTCCAAAATCCTGTTAATGTTAAAAGTTGTAGCATTCCCACGGAATCCACAAACTTTCGGGGCCTAAGGAAATCAGCAGTGTCAATTAAAAACCATCTCATTTTACAAATGAGGAGATATAGGCCCTGCAAAGGTAAGCTTGGACTAGACTCCATGTCTTCTCTCCCAAGCAAGATGTTCTACACCTAAGCAAAAATAAATGACTTAAATCTCTCTCTCCCTCACAGAATTTTTAGAAGTGAAACACTTCCATGAGTGAATAAAAAACTTAAGTTATTAAATGTTATAATAATTCTGTTTATAGTGTGTTTACTAAATGTTCATATTATAAACAGGAAACTTCCTACAAACAGGAAATTATGTCCTCAGTAGTCAACATAAGGCTTTTATCCAAATTGGATCTATTTTTCATTTAATGCTCATTTCTTCATTTGGAAGCAAAACACACACACTGATAAACTACCAAATGTTTTTAAAAAGCAAGGCAAACTTAGAATTGGCTCTTAAAATGGTTAACATTCTTTTCTCCAGACACACCTAAAAGACAAGTTCAAAATGAAGCTCACAGTCCCCCAAAGACATTTATTCTAGAATGACTCAAGGTCATGGCTTTAGGACCTACGGAGGGCTGGAACAGCAAAACAAACAAAAAACCAAGTTCTTAAGTTTTTAAGGCCCTAATATTTTTAATTTGAAGAATGGCAAGCAACAACTCCTCAATTTAAAGTACATTCATTTTAATTTTCCATGCTGAAAGACAGACACAACGCCTCTGGGTATACTGGGAATGACATTCTGATGAAAGGCCCTCAGACACCCAGGGACGGTTCCTCCCACAGCAACTTCCTATCCCACTCCAGCACAACCAAGGGGCTTGCCTCATCTACAAGGAGGAGCCTTAATTACCAAACTGCTTCATTTCAAAGGCAAGGCTGGATACTCAGCCTGGGGGGAAAAACCTGACCGAGTTTCCAAAGCAGCACCAAACACAAAAAGTAAAAAAAATCCACACCTTAAAACTAGTTTTAAGGAGAAAAAACGTTAAAGCTTCACAACGTGTTTTCTTGGCACTTTCCTGGACTTCCATAGGTATAGAAAACCTGGGCAGATTTCTGTTAGGGCCCTGTACTAGGTACTGGGGTGTTGCGGGGGGAAGGGAAGTGGATTAGAGGGAACGGGGCGGGTAGAAAAGGAGGGATGAGAGAGACGATCAATTTTACTCGAGAAGTGTATAATAAAGCTTGCATTCTTAACCCCCTTAAGTGCAAAGACTGTGTTTTCTGTAGCCAAAAATCAAGGCATGTTTTCAAACGTTAAGTTTAAGTTAGAATTATTCCAGAAAACTAATTCATTCAAAAAAAAAGCAACTGAGGCACCACCATAACCAAGTTCTGTTACTCTCGGGACGCAAAAACAAATAAGGAATATCCCCTGCGCTGGAGGAATTCACAATCGGAAGTGTATGGGAAATAAGGCTGTACTGTAGTTAATTACAGCCAGAAGATAACTTTCAGTAAGTGGCAAGAGTAATGAACTGCAATATCTAAGGAAACCATGCAGAATCAGCTCAGGCCTGCGCGTCTGTCTTCTGATGTGGTACACACATTAGGAGTGGGGGGTGGGGCTGCCTATAAGGACCTGAGCATGTGGCTCTCAGAGAGGGAGGCTTTTTATAAATTGGTGAAAAACCTAGCATATCTAAAGTTAGTTTGTTTTTTTGACAAAGCCGTTTTTAAAAGATAAAGTCAATGAGAAAAGAAGTTTAACGTATTTAGAAAGCAATTCAGCCATCCCTCTCAAGCTTAAGGAACACTCTCCTGAAACCTCCAAAAATGGGCATAATAGAGTTAAAGCGAGCCAGTCTTGTGTTTGCACGCTTTGGAATTTGAAATGCAGCGCAACTATTTCGACTCACCATGGAAAACAACAAATAGAACCTTCAAGTAAAACATTTTTCAATATCCAAAAACCTTCTTTAAACAAAGAAAAATCCCACCTCCAAACATTTTTTCCAAACACAATGACTGGTTTTACATTTTAAACATCATTACATATTTTACTACATAATACACTCTATAAGATTTCAGAAAATCGGGTACATTTTCGGGTGCACCATGAAATGAAGTGTTAAACTTAAAACTGCACACACTTCTGCGAGGCGTTAAGATATGCTTAGGTCCTAGAAGCTCAAAGCTTGAAGTAAAAAAGGAATCTAGTTCCTCTTCTGCGGCTTCGTTAAGTGCATTCCAAAAAGTGTGATCGTTTACTCCACTCAGAACTTTTGACGACTTTAATGCTACTACAAGAAAGAGCAATTACACAGGGCAAATAAATATTTAAGTAGACTGCAATTCAGTATTTGCGCACTTACCACTAACCCCTACTACGAACCAGAAGCAACCAAGAGTGACCCAATCGGAAAAGAGAATCCTCTTTTTGGCAAAGCCAGGCAGAGAGAAAACCTTAACTTTGGGGATTCATTTCAAGGAATGTCCACAAGCATTCCTCTCTTTCTTAATTATCTTATGTCTGCTCTACACAGTATTGCACGGGCGGCACAAACAGAGGTCTTTCAGATCTTAGGGGGGAAAAAAGCGCACTACCCCCGAGTCTGAGGACCCCAAGTCCCAGCAGCCTGGCGGGCACACGTTTACCCTCAGGGTCAGGGCGCGCGCTCCCGTTGGGGCCGGGGGCGCGCCGACGCCGCAGCGCAGGGCCCGGCCCGACTCGCGAGCGCTAGGCGGGCGCCGGGGAGCTCTGTCCGGTTCGGCCGCCGGGCTCGCATCCCTGCGCGCATGCCCTGGCCCATAGCCCCAGGAGAACGGGGCAAAAGGGCGACTGTTACCCAATAATAGCGCCCTGCACGTTCGCAACAATGCAGGCAGGGAACCCGAGAGCCGCGGGCAGGGAACCGGAAAGCGAGAGAGCCCGGCTCGGCGGCTGCTCCTGCGCGCGAGCCCAGGGCTCACAGGGGAGCACGCGTCGGCCGGAAAGCAGCGCTGGGGAGAAGCGTGGGCGCGAGGGGGCAAGGGCACGGGTCCCGGCGTCCCGCGGAGGTCGCCTCACGAGGCGAGGCGCGGACGCCCAAGCTGCCCCGGGCCACACGTCGACCCAGCTTCCGAGGGCCCAGCCCGGTCGCGGCGGGGAAAGGTGCCGGCGCCACCAGGCCGCCGCCTCCAGGCGCGATGAATCGGGCTTTTTCCCAGTGCGTAGTCCAGGCCTGGCCGCCCCGGCCCGTCCGGGGTGACTCAGGGCCCGGCCCCGCTCGCTCTCCTGCCGCCCTCGGCGTCCTCCGACCACGAGTCCCCCGGCCCGGCCGCCATTCCGCGCGGCCGCGTTTCGGCTGCTCAAGGCCTCGCCAGGCGCCTGGGCTCGGCCGCCGCGGCCCGAGTCACTGCGACACCGCGGCTCCGGGCCGGGCCTGCGCCGCCGCCGCCACCTCCTCTCGGCCCCGGCGGCTGCCGACACTCACCCGCATCTCTGTGGTGCCCCAAAGGCTCCCGCGACGCCTCCGCCTGGTCGCTGGGCCTGGGCCCCGGCGAAAGCCCCGTCCCGCCAAGGTCTGGCTGCGTCCCTCAGCCACCGGGGCTGCCCCGCCTGGAGCTGCGTGCGACACGGCGCCCGCCTCCTCCTCCTCCCCTGCCCGCCCGGCCCTCCTCCTCCCGCCGCCGCCGCCTGCACCACGCAACCTCCGCCCTCTCGCCTTCCCTCCGCGGCTCCCCGCCCTCTTCGGCCTCACCGGCTCCGGCGACCGCGGGGGAGAAGCTGTTGGGGGAGGGCCGGAACGCACCGCCATCGGCGTCCGGGGCGGGGGAGCCGGGAAACCGTCGTCGCCATCGCCCCGCCAGCCCGAGGCGCGGGAGGGGCCCGGAAAGCTCCCGCCCGCCCGCCGCTGCCGGCGGCCCCGGGGGCGCCCCTTCCGCGGCCGAGGCCCCCGCTAGCGTGGGGAGCATCTACCTGCGAGCCCGCGGCCCCTGCCCCGGACACCCGAGCCATCCCCGACCCCGCGCGCCGGATTCTTCGCCAGGTTTTACGGCCTCCCTCGCCTTGGGGCCGCCGCGGAGGACCCCTTCCCGCCACTTCGGACCTCGCGAGCGGGGCTGAGCTGCTTGGGTCGGGGACACCACCAGCCTCTGGAGAAACGGCCTGAAGCACCCCGAAGGAGAGGGGGTCCCAGTCCCCCCGCCCCTCCCCTGTGCGCACCGCCCCCCCCGGCTGGCCTCGAACCTGACTCCCCACCTTTGTCGACCGGGACTGGGGGATGCACCCTAGATCAGAAAGTCAGAGGTGGCCAGGTGGCCCTCCGAATCGGCGCAGACTTCCGAGGAACCTGCAGCCAATTCTCGATCCCCTTAACACCTGCAAGGCCTTAGGAATCGGCTCCAGAAAGCTCGAGCCTATCTGCGTGTCTCTTTTTAAAAATCACTTCTAAGATAAAACCTAACTAGGCTTTCCCTTTCAGACTTTCACTAACTCCTGTTTGGCAAATTTTGACATTCACTCTACCCTTCGTCTTTGTAAGGACAAATCAAGGCTTAGAAGGCTTTGATTACATACACGGATGGCATGAGTCGTGATATAAAGTAGTATTGTTTTCACGTGTAGTTCGAAGTCGTCTCATTTGAAATTAACTGTCATAATTGACTATTTGGAATATTGAACCTAGATCCTATCCGCTGCTGTGGTGACGGGTGGAGGAAGAGTGGTGGAACCCCCACATCTAGTGAGGGGTGGCTGATTAATACCACGGCTCACAGCATAACAGAGCGGCTCATTCCATGAACAACCCCGGGGGGATTTCGAACTCTATCATCTGGGCAAAAGATGTAATGAGCGGAACTTCCTGTTTTCTCCAAACGAAAACACTACACAGATTCCTGTACCACTCTGGGACAGAAATCCTCAGCCAGAGCAGAGGGCCGTCGCCAGAGTCCACACTGTTTCCTGCGTAACGTGGGTTTGTCTCTGAAGAAACATCCCACCGGTGTATGTGATCCCCTCTATTGAAATGTGGTCTTTTATCCACATCTGAGTCTCTCTAGAAGTAATGCATTTGTATGTACTTGTCACTCAGGTATGTAATCCCTTAATTTGTGCGGGATGTTGGGGTGTGAACAATTCTTGGTTTACATCCTACACTTTTGAATAACCTCGTCAAAACTTAGATGTATTTAACGCTTTTTTTTGTGTGAGCACATGGTAAGGTTGGAAATAAAAATGGAAGGTTTATCCCTGTGGCCCATGTTTTCCAGTGTACATATGCGGGTTTTAAAAAAAAAGTCCCAATTTCTTCCTTTTACTGGAAACTGCGTTTTTAGACAACAACTTAAGCTTCCTATTCCCTAACCAGTCTTCTCCAATCTTACCATTCAATATGGCCTCCTTTTCTGTGACTTCCTCCAGCTGAATAGAAGGGCTGAGTGGGTCAACCTTCCCTTTATTGTTTGTTTCCTCCACCCTCTGTTTTTCCTTAATAGCAGTATTTGGCCCACCCACACCACCCTCCCTCTTCTCACTGCCTCCATTCCTGGTTCTTAACTCCTTTCTATTCTTTACTCTCCACCTGCCTACACGATCATTTTTAGCAGCAAATTTATTCCATCGACTTCTATGTCCACTTAACATCCAGATTGCATTTACTTTGCGCAGATAACCTTGTCTCCTACCTCACAGGTCAAGGCCACCTGCTGCTCTTTTCTACTTTAAAACATCCTTCCTCCATCTTTTTCCCCTAGCTCAGCAAAACTGATGTCCCTCTTGGGTGACCCGAAGTTTGGAGGGATAATTAATTTGATAGATGTCAGAATCAAAGTTCAAAACAGTCTCAACTGTTTTGACTACATTAAGCCAGAAGCAATGAAATAAAATATAACTTTCAAATCTAGAACAGTATGATGTACTAGTTGGAAAAGCCCAAGTTTTAGATTTTAGCGAACCTTGGTTTGTATCTAGCTACTCAAATTTGAGTCATATCCAGTAACTCAAATTACTATCTTTTGCTCTAGTAAGGTCAACTGTTAATTTGAGATAAAAATACCTACTTCCTAAGAGTGTGAAGAGTAATTTCTTTGTAATTCCCACATAACGTGGAACATTCACCAACCATTAGTTCCCCTCCCTTCCTCATCTTCCACAAAGTGGTTGTCTCTGTTGCCATTCACAACACATTCTTTAGTTCTTATACACCTGGAAATAGACTCCAAATCCTAACCCATTCACCTTGTATCCCAGAGCTGTCACCATCCTAGAGAAATTCTTGGCCTTTTTTGGGTCAGTCATTATCATCATCATACTCATTTTTCAATGAGAAAACCTAAGGCTCAGAGATGTTAGGCAATTTGCTCCAAATCACTCAGCCTGAGCAGTGGCATAACCTGCCCCGGTGACTCCCAATTCTGTGTATATCCACTTCTTTACTAAGATATTCTCCCACACTTATGTTGATCCTTTGACCTTTTAAATGTTTTTCCTGGTTCTTATCTCTTCTGTATCCTTCCCCTTGTGTCATGACTGATGTCAGATGATTCCTTCTAAACTGATACCTTCATCATTATAATTTTGTCTTTTCAAGCTTCAGTGGTTCCATATTGTTTACAGTGTTCAATCCAAATTTGGACCTGGCACTTAAGGTTTACCAGATCTTGCCCTAACTTGGTTTTCCAAATTTATTTCCTGCCACTTCCCAGAAGGAACTCTCAATGCCATCCAGTCCTGTTGGTTGTACTCACTCGCCCACAGATGAGCTGTGAATCGCCATTTATGAGGGCCTGCTTCAGTTGTTCCCTTAACAGAGACCGTTCCCCACTTCTTTCCTCCGTCTCCAAATCATGCTCACTTTTCAAGATCCAGCTCACATCCCCTCCCAGGAAGCCCACCTTACACCTTCTACCCAAGCTTTGTGATCTCTCCCTGATTGCCTGCTCACATGTCCCTTTAAACTAGGTGGTCTGTGCCGTGGGGTGAGAGACAATTTCCTAACAGTCACCTGCCCCCTCAGCATTGTGCCCGAAGAACACTGAAGCAGATTCCAAGCAAATTTGCTTATTACTGAAATGAAAGCGTACAAGTGTTACTTGACTAACCATATGAACTACTATTTCTAAGACACAGGTAAATAACTACCCATCCAGTGCAAAGTGAATGAACAGGATGGTTCTCAAACCTGGCTTTGCTTTAGAATCACCTGGGGACTTTACTGATTCCGAGCGCTCCGCTCCGGATCTGAATCAAAAGTAGGTGGGAAGCAGCAGGGAGGGAACATGAAACTGCCAGAGTTTATATCCTGGCATCGCTACTTGTTATCTGGGGAACTTTAAGCAAGTTACTTAACCTCTCTGTGCCTCAGTTTCTTCATCTATGACATAGGGATGATAATAACAGTAGCTTGGCTGGGCGTGGTGGCTCATGCCTGTAATCCCAGCACTTTGGGAGGCCAAGGCATGTGGATCACTTGAGGTGACCAGCCTGGCCAACAAGGTGAAACCCTGTCTCTATTAAGAATACAAAAATCAGCCGAGCATGGTGGCATGCACCTGTAATCCCAGCTATTCAGGAGGCTGAGGCAAGAGAATCATTTGGACCCAGGAGACGGAGGTTGCAGTGAGCGGAGATTGTGTCACTGCACTCCAGCCTAGGGTGACAGAGTGAGACTCTGTCCCAAAAAATTAATAATATCTCATATGAGGTTGTTGTAAGTTAAATCCTTAATAAAACTTATGACGACAATGATAATTTTTCAATTAAACTTGTTTGTTTAATCCAAATCATGAAATACACATTACTTTTGATTCTTAAAAAAAAAATTAGTTCTGCTTACAAAAGTAGTTACATATGTGCTATAACTATACAGAGTAATTCAACTAGATTAGTATCCAAAGGAAGCAGGAAAGAGATGAAATAATTGAATAATTTCTTCTACGTAGGGTTTTAAATTGTTTTTGAAGAAGCAGGTGTTTAAGACCCCTACTTTAATTTCTTTCTTTCTTCCTTTTTTTTTTTTTTTTTTTTTGAGACTGGGTCTCACTTTGTCGCTGAGGCTGGAGTGCAGTGGCATGATCATGGCTCACTGCAGCCTCAACTTTTTGGACTCAGGTGATCCTCCCACCTCAGCCTCCCAAAGTGCTGGGATTACAGGCATTACTGTAACCTGGCCTAATCCCCTACTTTGGTTTCATTAGAAAGGATTTCATAGCTAATACTGGTCCATCAAATGCCAAATAAACAAAATTTTAATAGTAGAGGTAACTAGATATAAAATATCATACAGAAATTTACTTACCAAAGTCACAAACTGTCTGAAGGAGAAACATAGTATTGGTAGACCTCATCCTCTCAACTCTTGACTTACAAGTTGTGTATCTAAACAAATACATAAAGGCCTTGTTTTTAGTGCCTGGAATTCCACCAAAGATTCTTAAGTATCATTTCTTAAAGATGCAAATAGCCCTTGGAGGTAGGAGGGTTTGATAGTCATTCACACATTGGCATTTACTAGTTCAATCAGGTTGCTATTTTTTTTGTTTTTTTTTGAGACGGGTTTCACTCTGTTGCCCAGGCTGGAATGCGGTGACATGATCACAGCTCACTGCAGCCTTGACCTCCTGGACACAAACAATCCTCCCATCTCAGCCTCCCGAATAGCACCTGTCACCATCCCTGGCTAATTTAAAAAAAATTTTAAAACAATGGGATCTTGTTATGTTGCCCAGGCTGATCTTGAACTCCTGGGCTCAAGCAATCCTCCTGCCTCGACCTCCCAACGTGCTGGGATTACCATACTTCATCTGGCCAGGTCGCCTTCTTTTTAACACAGATCAGTAGCACCTAAACACAGAAAGTTTGGGGCAAATCAAGTTTTGGAAAAACACTGAGTGCCTCAGGGAAGGCTGAAGGCCTTAGGCCAGAGGTTCTGGGAGGAGGAGGCTTCATCTAAAGAAGAAAATGAAGAAAAGGAAAAGGAAGGATTTAACAATTTAACCTGTCTGATCTCAGATCTTGCATATTGCCAGTTCTAGGCCTCTTATTTTGGAATCCAGAAAATACTGGTGTAAGATAGTCATGAATTAAGCTTTTGAGTCTGACCTGGGAGACCTAAACACCATTGTAACATTGTATCAATTTGGATCAGATGAAATAGCCATGTGTTTTCCAATGATTCAACCTAGTTTCTATGAGATATTTTTCAGAGAAAAGTGTCCTAAAATATTGTCGTCTCCCTCCTCCTCCTCCTCCTCTTCTTCTTCTTCTTCATCTTCATCTTCTTCCTCTTCTTCCTCTTTCTTCTTCTTTCTTCTTTTTTTTTTTTTTTTAAACAGAGTCTGTCTCTGTCACCCAGGCTGGAAGTGTGGTGGTCTGATCACAGCTCACTGCAGCCTTGACATCCCAGTCTCAAGTAATCCTCCCACCTCAGCCTCCTGTGTAGCTGGGACCACAGGTGTGTGCCACCATGCCCAGCTTTTCTTTTTTCTTTTTTTCCTGCAATGTTGCCCAGGTTACTTTTTTTCCTTTGTTGTTGTGTATTTCTGGGTGTGTGTGTGTGTGTGTGTGTGTGTTGTTTTTTTTTCTGAGACCGAGACTTGCTATTTTGCCCAGGCTGGTCTGGAACTCCTGGGCTCAAGTGACCCTCCCGCATTAGCCTGCTGAGTAGCGAGGACTACAATACACCCCTGAGCCCAGCCTAGAATTGCTTTTTCCAGGGAGTTTTCTATGACCCTTCATATCTCAACCCACCCCATGTCTACACCTGGATTAGTTGTCCTTCTTGTGTCATTCTTTTGTACCATGTAGTTATTATATTGCATTATAATTTTTCCCTTCTCTATCTCCTACTCCCTCACAGATTGTGAGCTCCTTGAATTCAGGTGCTGTGTCTTTTGTCACTACATCTACAACATTTAGTACAGTGCGTGACACATAGTATACTGAAAGTGATTAGAATCCAACTCATGCACTAATTGGGATTGTTTGTACTATGAAATTCAGTCATTCCACTTTTTCCTGCTCAAAGACCTTCCGTAATTCTCTGCTTCCTAAAAGAATCTCAAACACCTCATTCCTAATATTGAAGCATTCTCTACACTTTGGCTCCAATGGATTAGTCCCTCTGGTTTCTTATACATATCATACCAGATCCAAACTAGATTCCTATGAATGCCCGATTGGGCTCCATGCATTTCCTCATCCAACTATAACTTCCACAGAAATTGCTCTTCTCCAGTCACTGCTTACCCAAATATAACCCATCCTTCTGGGCCTACCTTAAATGCAGTCTCTTTAGTGAAACCTTTCCTGCTCTTCTACCCGATGTGAATTCCACTTCTCCCCTTGCACTGGCTAAGCTTCTTAAAGACATTCTTGAACAAGTTTGTATCCCTACAGGACTGTATTAAATTATGGAGGCTGGCAAGTCCAAAATCTGCAGGGTAGGTTGGCAAGCTGTACACTCACAGAAGAACCAATGTTGAAGTTCAAGTGTGAAGGCCATCAGGCTGGCAGAATTTCTTCTTGCTCAAGAAATATCAGTCTTTTGCTCTATTAAGGCCTTCAACCAATTTGATGAGGCCCACCCACATATGGATAGCAAGTTGCTTTATTCAAAGTCCACCAATGAGGCCAGGCATGGTGGCTCATGCCTGTAATCCCAGCACTTTGGGAGGCTGAGGTGGGTGGATCACTTGAGGTCAAGAGTTTGAGACCAGATTGGCCAACACGGTGAAACCCTGTCTCTACAAAAATACAAAAATAGCCAGGCATTGGAAGGCAGAGGTTGCAGTGAGTTGAGATGGTGCCATTGCACTCTAGCCTGGATGACAGAGTGAGACTCTTAGAAAGAAAAAACAAAAATAAATAAATAAATAAAACAAATAAATAAATAAAACAATGACTGTTAATCTCATCCAAAAAACACCTTCACAGAAACATCCAGAATAATGTTTGACCAAATATCCAGGCACCATGGTCCAACCAATTTGATGCACAAAATTAAACACCACAAGAACTAAGTGGGATGTCCTGGATGTAGCAAATGGCATTTTATTTC